TCTCCTGACAAAGAATGCTTCTTGCTGCGAGGTATTTCTAGACGCATTTGGAAAATCATTATAAAAGTGCTCTGTTCCAGAAACCTCGCCTCACATTGTTCATTTTCATTTTCTCGCTATGAGGAGTTGTGAGCCATGTGCCAAGTTCTTCCTTAGTTGTATAATTCTGTGCATTTTGTTTATTTTGTCAGTCATATTACAAGAATATTATACATGCAAATTTCATTCAGGGCACACAATGCTTTTGAGATTTTGCACAAATAAAATAAAAACATTTCTCTCTCTCTGCATTCGCTCCTCTCCGGTGTTACTCGAGAAGAGTTGGGATTTAGGTTCCTGCCTCGGAATTGATTGACAAGAACAGTAACAAAACCGAGGTTAGTTCTCTTGTGAAAATATAAAGGACTGTGAATTGCAGTGTTGAGGATATCAGGGCTCTGTGACTCCCTTTATGCATGCTCAGCAGTTTCTTCTTCCTTGCGATACAACACATTTTTCTCTTACCCAGCACAATTCGTAGAGCTCAAAAAGAAAATAAATAATGTCATCATGGAGAGCCTTCTGCTGTGGTCAAGATGCAGGGTTTAATCTTTGAGGAAGAACTCATTAGGGAGGAAATGTGCTTCATGGTTTCCCTTAAACAGCTCCTCAAGTTCATTTTTCTGAAGGTGTGGATCTGTGCCAGGCTAAGCCACCCCAATTCCAGGCTGCTGCCTCCCCACTCCCAGCTGTGCTGGCTCTGGGAGCCGATGGGGCTGGATACGGTCCCTCAACTGGCTTCCCCACAAGCACCGACACCTTGGGCTGCTCCAGCCACACTGCACAGGGAGTGCAAAACTGTGGGAGATTCACAGGGATGTTCCTCAAAGCAGAAATATAAAGCTTGGTTTTTCATCAGGAAGGAAAGATGAAGGCAAAAGAAAGGCAATGTCCTATTTAAGGAGATGCTCTGGTTGCAGGCAGGCGTGGAGCTGGGGAGTTGGGTTTAGGCAATACTCACCTCTGCCTCTCAGCACAAGGAATGGAGAGGGTGTTCTCATGCTATGCCTGCAGTTTGATTTGTCTTACTGCCCAGTGCTGTTAAATTTTTAGATCAGCTTAATTTTTAATTCTAGCGGTCCTAGTTAAAATGATTATTTTCTGAGTGGAAAAAAGAACAAAATCAGGGGAAGGGAAAGTGTGATTTCTTCTGGCTCTGGCAAGTGGAAAAATTATTCTAGATTAAAACTTCCTTGCCTAAAAATGTTGGGTGATTTTAGTTTTCCTCTTATTCTGACTTTATCTCGACTGTTTGTAATCTGGAAGCTGCTTTGATCTTTGTTTATCTAGACAAGCTGTAAAAAACTTGTCATCTCATTCTTTCCTTTAGAGACCAGAGGCTATTTTCTCTCAGGTGGTTATGGTTCTTAGGGTCTTAGAGTTGGTTTTGCTTTATAGTCATTAAAAACAACTCTTGTCATTTCTCTATACCATGCCTTCTGTGGAGACGTTACATTTTTGTAGCCAATAGACACATTTGACCGGTATTCTTGAAATCAGGCTGAGCGTACCATCGATTAGGATCTAAGCACAGCTTTGAAACGGGTTAAGTCTGCAGCTTCTGAGAAGCACCTGGCTCTTCCCAGAAACTGTTGTGGTGATTTAATGTCAACTTTTATCTTTAGTTTCTAGGATACTGCAGATATTTACTACTTTGAGTAAATACCCTGAATTAAGCTGGTCAGCTTCTGGGAGTATTTGTAAGTATCTACTTAGCCCCTTGTGTCCAGGGAGCACGGTGCATTGGAGACGTCTTTCTTTATCAGGATTTAAAGTTGAGGTCCTGAGTGCCTACAAAATAACCCAATATCTGGCTGGGCCTTCACAAGAGAAGTGAAATTGGTTCAGGGTTTTTTTTGCCACTGTTTAGTCTGCCATTTAATCTGCCAAGGCATATCCAAGTTTAAATTGATTAAAGTGTTCTCATTTCCTGTCCTGAACATGTTGTGTAATAGCCTTCTTTAGCTTTTTTAAATATTTGCTCTATTTCACTTCAGGACTGGTGGGTGAAGTAATTACCATGTCAAATCAGTCGGTAGGGTGCCTTGAAATCTGCCAGGTCCTGTGCACTGTTGGGGCATGATTAGACCCTGCCACGTACGGTTTCTAGGTCATAGGCAGTATTTACAAGTTGATGGAGAAAGAGAGATCTTCACCAGCTGTTACCAAGAGGGGACTGGTATAGTAATTGTCATGTTTTAGCCATAAGACTTATTTTGGAACAAAAGTATGCTAATAGATGTTGTTCGTTTCATTGCCTTTGGTAAACTTTTCCAGATCTTCAGTATCAACATGTGCTCATTTTTTTTTTGTCCCGGGGTTCAGTTTCTAAATACTCTGAAAGCAAGCAATGAAAAAATGTCAGAGGCTTAGAGATCTTTCCACAGTTTTTGGTCAGTTTGGTGTCATCATCATCTAAACATAGGCAGGCTGGACTGGAAGAGATCTCTTGGGTCACAGCTCCCTTGTTTTCGTCTTCCACAGGCACTGTCGTATTACCCTTTTTATAAGCGCATTCAGCTCCATCTGTGTGCTTGGTTTTTGTCCTCATTTGGGAAACTGTTCCCAAATGTTGCAATTTTGAAACGCTCTTCTGAGCTTCTTTAAATTTCCCTTCCTATTCCTGTCCTGTTCAGAAGGACCGAAAACTGTGCTCCAGGGGCTAAGCCTAAAGGCAAGAACAAAATTGGACTCCGCAGGTTGGACAAAAAATGTTGCTAGTGTCCCCCGGAGGTGTGTTATTCCTTCTTAAAGCTTTCAGAAACAAACTGCACAAACATGAAACCAGAAATCGTGTGCTTGAATTAGCTAATAAATAGTGCTTCCTGGCATCAGCAGCAACAGAACATAATCATCTTCATTATACAAAGTGTGAGACTGTGTTTAGTACCAAATAGCATTTCGCGTTGGCCTCTTGTAAATGAGAGCTATCTCGATTTGTCTAAAAGACAAACATGGATTCAGACTGCAGATTCAGATAATTTGCTCCGCCTACTCAAAAGCCAGCTATTTCAGGAGTGAATTTTAGTGATTTACGATCCCATCTCCTATTTCCAAAAGGCATTTCTTTACCAGTTTCCAGTTTTTTTCCCATCACTTTGTCTTGTTTAGGTAATACATAAATCTGTCAGAAAAGAGTGTCATCTATAACCTCTGAGGCCCCTTAGTGACAAGCCCCATTGTCAAAGGCAGGCACTTTGCCAGGAAACTGTGACTCCCAGAGAGAGTGTGCAAGGTTAGGGGGAAAGTATACTATTGCCAGAGAAACTGTATTCCAAGTGGATTTGTGTGGAACAACAACGATATCCAGTGACTGGTTAAATTAGCCACAGATGTGTTTTCTAGAACACTGTCCAAGAAGATATACAGTACTTTAAGGCTTGGTTCAGACATAATGATCTTCTGAAGTCAAATCAGATCCAAGCAAAATTGCATCGGTACTAGGGAAGTTTTAAAGGAATTGTGTAATATGATTCAGACAAGTAGATGAATCAGACTGCTGCGAACTAAACAAGGAGCACATCGGTGAGAGATGAGGTAAGACGCCTTGCATAGAAGTGTGACAGTTTGATGTTAGCAGTTTGCTGTTAAAATCCAAGCTGCAGCGGATTGACACGGGCAGTTAAACGGGCACGTTATGCCGGCCACCTGCCCAGAACGTGCGTGCGGAGGAGAATCTCCCAGTGGTTTCTTTCAGCTTTTCAGAATGTACGAGTGCTTGGTTTTGCACTTGCCGTCTCCATTGCTGTATCGCTGTCCCTGCGCCACTCCTCCTGCACGGCAGTGCTGCCGATTTCAGTTTTTAGGAGGATAGTTACTCTGCTGAGGGCAATGCACTTATTAAATATTCGGAGAATTTTCAAATACTGAAATCAGAGTACAGGTGAAGGCTCTCAGACTTCTCTCATACAGGAGAATTTTGTCTCGGCATCACAGCTCGAGCAGTACGGGGGATTTCTGTCTGAGATCGGTGTTGAGAAGCTCAGCTTCCATCCCACAGCCGAGTTCTGACTCTCGTTCTTAAAGTTCAGATAAGACAGACAGTGGAGAGAAGTCCTGTTGAATTACAGATCTGCTATATAGTTTAATGTTCTGGGGAAACATAAGCAGCTTAGTTACTGTAGTAGTTGGAACAGGAAGCAAGAAAAGCTTTTGGTGTATTCTCTGACCTATTTCTTTACCGTGTTATTTACTTGAACTAAATTGAATACGGTGTATTAAAATGTTGTAATCAAAAAGGGCCTGGAAGTATTCAGCTTAGATTCTCATTGCAATAAGCATTAATGGTAAAAGTGGAATTTAAAAAATAGCAGTTTTGTCGAGGAGTTGCAGGGGAGTTATAAACAAAAATTTTCACAATAGAAATAGCATATTCTTGTGGATGAAAATTTATCTCAGTCACTGTTTTTCAGACCTTTATTAAATGTTTTTAACGCTATTGGTGTAAATGTGGAAACGGATCTGTTTAGGTTTGCTTTGAATTTCCAGATACAGTTCCAAAGAGGGCTCAAATGCTGTGAGTTTATTCACAGAAATGTTATTTTCTTTTCCTTTCCTTGTTACCTCTTTGTAATAATTTGTTTTAATCAAGCAAATTGTATTGCTTCCCATCCTCTGCTTTCAGTTTCCTCTCACTTGAGCTCTGAATTCTGCTTCCAGAGATTTTGCACTTCTATTCTTAGGAATTTTTGCGGGTCACATGCAAAGCCATTGTGTGTGTGCATGCATGTGTGTATGTCTTTAGACAGCATACCAATAATTTGAATAACCCTGCAAAGTCATGGCTTTGCTTCAGGAGAACTCATGGCAGAAAATGAAACATGCTTCCATTTTCAGGTACACATTCTGATTTTGACCTAAGAGAGCCAGACATCCTGACAGCTGGCAGAATGTGTTTATTCTAAAACGTGATAATTTTGAAAATGCTCATACCTATGGCTTTATTTCTTCTCTCTTTACAGGGTCTTTGTAAACAGAAGTTTAGCCATGGAAAAGATAAAGTGCTTTGGTTTTGATATGGATTATACACTTGCTGGTGAGTATCTTAATTTTTTTTTGTCATTGACTTCGTTTGGAATATTGCCTCTTGTTGAACAAAAACCAGTTACTGGTTGGGCTACTCCAGTTAGCAGATGCTTCTTTTATTAGCAAATATATCGTTCACTATTCATTGCACTTTCATTTTAGGTGTTTCCCTTGAATTTGTTATCTGCAAGCTGTATTTGGTCACAAGCCATGTTGCTGTAGTACAGTTTCAAGTGATTATGGGTGTCAAGGAAACCAAAGCTTAATAAGTCTAATTGCTTTCTTAGATTCCACTATATTTTGCTCTTGCCCCTGGTGCAAGCTTGGCTTTGAATAACAAGGTGATTTCTTTTACCCTTGGTGCATATGGCAGGCTACACCTTTAGCCAGCAGATTCTCCTGTGTCCTGGGAGGGTCATTTTTGAATAGGTTTTCCTCTTTCCCATTCCTCGGTTGGCCACATCAGTGACTCATTTTGAGAAGAGGCAAGGCAGGGGGAGTGTCTTGCGTCAGCTGAACAAGTTAATTTAGAAAGCTTTGCCCATTCTTTATGGCAGATAGGCTTTGAGAGGTTGCATAAGGCCTTTTAGTTTCATAAAATTTTTTGCATGACTTCTCCATCTTTCAAATACTCGACAGGCAAGTTCTCCGAGACTTTTGATGAAGGGGGTAAAGTTACCTTTTTCTGCATAATCAGACTTGCATTATGTTACATATTTTAAGGAAGGAGGAGATAAATAGCCCACATCCACTTTCCTAGGTTATGGTATCACACAGGCTGTGACTGAGGATGTCACGTACAATCCTGCCTTCTTTCTCATTACCACTTTGAAGGTTGTAGATAAAAAGTTCCTATCACCCTTGATATTTCAGTTTAGAATTGTTGTGAATATAAACTGGGAAAATGTGAGGTAGAGTGTCAGGTCACCTAATAATAGGTTAATGCAGTATGTCAACTATGGTCATCTAGTTACTGTGTCTACTGAGAAGGAATGAGAGATGAGTAATGTGGCTAGGGACAGTGTGAGGGTCACAGGAGCCGGGGTCAGTGGCTAAGCAAAGGGCAGGAAGGTATCCACGTGCTCATGGTTCAACACAATGGTGCAAGGAGCAGTTTTGGAGGCTGTGGCAGGTAATTGCAGTTTGTATTTAGATCACTTGCTTTTGTTCTTTTAAGCAGTTATCCATGAGGCAGTAGTTATATATAAAAGGTTTGGTTGTTCAAGACCTTATTTATACATCTGTTTAAAGTTCCTGCCACTTTTAAAGTCATGAAGTGTATCGTTAATCTGTGCTGGATCTGACTGCAGGCACGTGCTTTTGGTGTTTGTGTTTCCCAGTTGTGACAGCCTTGTGGCAGTGCCTTTAAGGAGCGCAAAATAGTTGTTCAAGAACAAATGCTTAAAAAAAAAAAAAAGTTGTGGGTTTCATTTCCGTAACAGAAAAACAACTTCTGTGCCTTTCGCAAACTGGCGGCATTTCCCAAGGACTCAGGTGATCCCAGTGGGGCTGGCATGGAGCATGAAGCGTGCTGCTAACTTTCAATCTGACAGAAGGAGAGCTTCAGCACTATCCTCACTTCTCCAACTGTTCATTTTACTCAAGTGTTGCTTGTTCCTGTAAACACAGAGCAAATGTGTTGTTACCCACAAAATGATGCTTGGTTTGATGAGAGGAAAAAATGTGCATGTTTCAAGCGTCCTAAAGCAGTACCCAGGGACATGGAAACCTGGGGCTTCCAAGGCTGGAAGATCACAGTGCTACAGTTAAGCAGGCGAAGTTGGTGCATTCAGGGAAGTTGAGTGACAAGATACGGTGCAAAAAAAGAAATGGGATGTGGTCCAAGCAGAAAACGGGAAATCTGGGCCGCTCTTAGGGTAAGCTGCTGTCCTATGACTTCTTCTGTGGTACAACAGAGATAATAGTTGCAGATCATTTTACAAGGAGTTGTGAGAATGTAATTAGGTTAGAAAGCCTTTTGCAGAGGAAAAGCATTATGCCTGGTAAGTACAATTTCCCTTTTTTTCACTCGACTGGGAAATTAACATACAAAATTATCTGTTTGTCTTCTTATGTCTTAGAGTCGTCCTTTCTTCTCCATGTGGGCTTTTGTTGTCTGACCATTATTTGCTATATATAACTGTTGCACACAAGAAAAATTACTTATTCATTGTAGGGGCTTTAAAGAGCATAGTATTAGAATATGATTATGATTATAATTAATTAATTGGAAATGATAATGAAGAAGTGGGGCAAGTGAAGTATTACATTAGTATGTTGTAGTGTATTCATTAGATCCTGTCGTGTTTTCTGTCTTTTTTTTTTCTCTTTCACATGGACATGCTGCTGTCTAGATTAAAAAAGAAAAAACAATGTAAAAATCTAGTTTATCTGTAATTTAACATCTGGAAATGGTATCTGCATACCAGAGGGTGCATGCTGAGCAGAAGCCTTTTGGAGACCATTCAAGACATGTAAATAGACCAAGGAAGAAGAACGGAAGCATCTCCAGTGTCATCAGCTCCTCATCTAGTTTTCTGCATTTGTACTTTCAGATATTGCTAAGCCACTTTTCTGTAAAGTTGTTTAAAAATATCCCAAGCACAATCTTTATATTCAATGATTGAAGGCAGTCAAAGTCATTGACCCTGCCAAAAACTATATGCCTCGTCCTTTCCCCACTCTCTGTCGTGAACTTTCACATCAGAAATAAACTGATGACATTCATCCCATACACTTTGACATCGCAAAGGAAGAATGATTCTTTTGAATTACCTATCTTGTGAAGAGGAGGGTGTGGTATCAGTAAAATAAAACATGTTGTCACTCTTCTCTCTTCTTCCCAAATCAGTGGCCACTGGTAACACCAAGTGTCTTGCTTAGGAGGTGGTTCAGTACCAGAGAAGTCAGAATCACTTGACTTATTTTGAACTTCAGAAGCTTGAAACAGTTTTGGTTTTGTATTTTATGAGTTTAAGGACACAAACCTACTTAAAATAACACTGTTTTCTGTCTAGAAGAATCTAATTTTGGCAGGGACATGGCATTTCCATTTTGAAGTATATTGTAACAGCTACTACACACATGCTGCAGCGATCATGTGTTCTACTACTAGCATGACTGAGAATGTCAGCTTGCCAACTGACAGCAGTTTTAGTATCATCATGTTACATTGCACATAAAATACAATTTCATGCATTGTTTTATAGGGTGGTATTTCTTAGCCTTATTAAATTAAAGGACCACTTAACTCAGAATTGAAAAAATTCAAGGCTGTCTGATAGAGTATTGCCACAGTGATTTGGTTTGCTTTCAAGTCAAAATTAGGTTAGACTTTGAATTCTTGTTAATAACTTCTATGTTCTCTCATTGTGTTTGTCTCTTTCCTTGCATAGCGTTTAGTAATACTGTTAATGGGTGGGTTGGGCAAACAAAGTCTTTTTTTCTTGAAGAAAAGAGCCTGAAGGTTTTAGCCTTCTCTTCTGAGAAATTATGGGCATTAAATTGCTGAATTTGTATCCACTGTGATCACAGCTAGAATTAATCTGACTGCTGGGAGCTCAAAATAAAATGAAAGCAAATTGAAGTAACTCTCACAGGTTTTAGATTCCTTGTTTTCCCATCAAGGATTGCTGTTGCATCCTCATGGGGTGAGTAAGATCTCCCACATGTATGGAAACTCCCAAGTCTCACTAGGTTTGTGTGCTGGATACACTAATACTAGAGGCTCAGAAATCTGTGTTGTATATGAAGCTGACTGTCCCTTCCTGTTCAATCTGTTTGGTTTGCTTGTGTTAGTGAATCACATTTAGTACATAAAAGAACATTTCTTTTAAGCTAGGTGTTATTGGGAGGAAAGTCAAAGGAGCAGGAAGAACAGCAGGGTTTGACCGTGGTTTGTGTGCATAGTTAAATAGTCGCTGCTTAAAATCTTGGAGGGCTTGATGCAAGCAAGAGTCATCAGCTATTTCAGCCCTTGCTGTTAGCGGAGGCTAAGACAAGTTTCTGTGATGTTACGCAGCCGTCACCCCAGCAGCCCTTCGTTCTCTGCCGCTGCCTTTGCTGCCTGCCAGCCAGGGAGCGAGGCCCGTGCCGATTCCCCGGGGTTCCCTTGCTCCAGGATCTGCAAATACCCATGAAGGGCTGCATTTGCTGTCAGGGCAGAACTGAGAATTTTTGAAAAATTCGTGTTTAAATCCTTAAGTTAGGGAGATTTGAGGGTCCTTTTGTAGTGCGTTTTTGTCTGCTAAATAGTAGGATTTTTTATTATCTGAATGATTCATCTCTGCTTATTCATCCTGACTGGCTAGAAGACCAGTAGTCAGTAACAATTCTGGTCTGCCTTCCTGTTTTACTAGTACTGTCAAAACTGCCCATGCTTTGGTAAAGGAAAATGTTGCATGTAATCCAAAAGATTCACAGCCTTCTCTTTGTTGTGTTTACTGCAAACTGCAGGAAGAAAGATAAAGGTACGTCAGTAGAGAGTCCTCACTGCAGCACTCACCTGAGCCTAGGAGTTGGTGAGGCCCATTGGAAATGCAGCACAGAGAGATTGGTTTCACACAGCATTTTATTTGGCTGCTTCCTTCTCAGTGTGAGCTACACTTGTAATTAGTAGGTCTGGATCCAAGTAATGCAGGAGGCCTTGGCATTACTAGATCTTAAATGGGACAGGTTGCACAATGAGGTGATGGATCGATGTCCCTTGACAGGAGCAGGGCTAAAGCAGTGGGGTTCTCAAACTGGCTGTAATTTCACACCAGACCATTGGCAGATGGAGAGGGAATTAGTAAGAATTACAGACTCAATTGTGCTTGAAAAGATTCCTCTGTGTCAACCCTCCTTCTCCAAAAGTTACGGCCTTGTTGAAAGTTTTATCTTCTGTCTCTGAGGTAGGTAAGATGTAGGCAAGATGCTTTCATTTGGAATGCTTTTCCTGTACTTAAATCACTGCTGCTTCCATGTTCTCCAGAAATCAATAATAAAATTATCATTGGCTGCTGAAAACTG